TTTTGATGAAATTTCCATCTCTCAACTTTTTTCGTATACGAAAGAAAATGGGAAAATCTAATCCCAAGAAAAATGCTGTCTTCCAGATATCATTATTGAAACTGTTTTTCATTTAGTGGAGACTTTTTGATCGTCATTGTATAGGTATGTCATGAATTATTGAGCCATATCATCATGACAGTTGATATGAAACTATTGAAACTGAACTTATTAAAGAGTTCAAAATCAAAAATGTATTTGATCATTGGAAAAATTGTCGGCATTCCTCACGTAATCAAAATATGAGGTCAAGCGATAGTACTTTCTTGGTAACAGATATAATCCAAAAAAATACGAAAAGAGAAATGAAAATTTCTATGTTTTTTACCACTTCTATTTGTAACTAACGTTACTGCAGTTTCGTCTTATATGGACATTCTCAAACTTAGTGTTTATTGTATAAGTCTGAGAATGCCCATATAGGACGAAACTGTAGTAACGTTAGTTACAAATAAAAGTGGTAAAAACATAGAAATTTTCATTTCTCTTTTCATTATGCTCTCCTACCACGTAGTAACGGCTACATCCATCAATTTACCAAAAAAATACGGATATTTCTTCACACCAAACGTTTTGTGGTAGATAAAATATACAAGGCGGTCAAAACATAATATCAAGAGGGTAAAATTTGATTGCTCGCACAAGAGTTAGCCAAATGTGGCCCATGTTAAGCAATTTTCTGTCGTTTTCAAGTTATCAATGTTCTTATATTTTTTTTAAATTTTGAGAAGGATCGTTTTCAATTCATTTTCACATTTTCAGAAGAGAGATTTTACGGTAGCATTCGATAATGAGTTGTTTATCCGTATGTAGAATAATCACCTTAGTAACAGCAATACAAAAATTTTGATCTGAAGTGAAAACTTCGCATTTCAACATTGAATTGAGAATTTAAAAAATACCTTGAAGTTAGTAGGTAATTTTGAAAACTTTGCGAAACCACAATCTGAATCCAGCTACAGAAATCATTGAAGTGAAAATGTGTATACTTATTTGACTTAAAAAAAATATTTCCATTTATTTTGTCTAGTGAACCTAGTCTCAACTCAGAGTTGAGACTACAAAATCAATATACTTGAAATAAATTTTTAAAATGTCTTCCTTTGGCTAGAAGAAATCGAAATGGAAATTATAGAAAACTAGAGCACTTTTAGGAAATCAAAAGATTATTTTTGAAACATTGATTCTGTAGATAAATAAATGAAGGATTTCATCAACTTTCAATTTTGTTGTTTTTACTGCCTGTTAATTGAAGCTTGTATTCAAATTTGAAAACATAGATTTTCCAAAAGATTTTTGAAGAATTTTTTTATTGAAAGTTGTAAATTCAGCTGTATTTTTTCTGAATGTGGATAATTCACTTTGATCAAGCTTAATGCACCTTGTATTAATGTTACTGAGCTCATGATTCGTGCGCTGAAAACCAATTCATAAATAGTATTTTACTTCTAAAAGTTACTGAAAAACTTTTCAAAAAAAAAGAAAAAACTAACTTCGATCCGACTGAGAAATCATATGTAGGTATACTTATGAGAGTTTTGTACATTCCTCTATGAGAAGAATCCAATTGTTTTCCGATGTCAAGGCTTGAACCACCCTGTATATCAATAATGAATTCTTAATCGTTGGAGAGTGTTACGTGTTTATATTGATTGTTGTGGGCAGTACATATTAGCTTATAACCATGAGTGAGACTGAAACATTCCTCAGGAAATGGAATAAACTTCTAGAAAAAACTACTTGAGATCAAACCTCAGATGTGGAGATGAACATACAATAGGTTATGATGCATTGAGATATTTCATTGAGCAGATTGTTTCGAAGAAGATTTTCATGTATCAAAATTCTGCAATCCGAAGATGTAATAGTAATTATATATGAGGTGGGTTGGGAACTTCGTGGGCTAATACACAGATGGCGCTAATGGTATTGAAACCATATGATTTTCAATTGAACCTAACATTCAAAAGATGCGTGTACATATTTCACAGCTGGTGGATTATTAGTTTGTGTGATAAAACCTTATCTCTCAGATCGCGTTCAAGAAGTGAATTTTAAAAGTTCATCTTCAGATAAAGCAAGCCTTAAATGCGGAGTGCCTCAAGGATCTGCCTTCGGTCCTTTGCTATTTTTATTATATGTAAATGATCTGGCATATATATCGATTGAAGGCAAATTCACAAGTTTTGCTGATGACTCATCTATACTTTGACATGATGGAAGTACTGATGCACTAAAAATTTTAGTGGAGCAAGATTTGAGCAAGTTAAACAATGGTGTGATGCCAATTTATTATCTTTCAATATGTCAAAGATTAATATGGTGTCGTTCAAATGTAATTTGGATCATATAATTATTGAAAAACATATCATCGATCAAAAACTAGAGAACAAATTTTTAGGTACCGACATAGAAAACAAATTGAAACTGGACTTTCACTCAGCTAGAAAAGCACACTTTGCACTCTGCAAATCCCACTTGCGGTACGAAATTTGTTACTGGGGGAAGGAGACAGTTGTCAAAACTTAATGAGTCAAGTTTTCAGAATTCGAAAAAAAAGAGTGAGATTGATGACCAGAGCAAGAGTCCAAGATCCCTGGTAAGCCCCTTTTTCCAATTCTTCACATCTTAACAGTCCATGGCATCTTCATTTTAGAGGCCTAATGCACAAAAAGCACAAAGATAACATCTCAAACTCAACTCAAAGTTATGTTACTCGTCTCACATTCAATATTCCTCCCTACCCTGTCAACACCACAAATTAAAAGCTCGATTCTTCACAACTCTGATCGTTCCCACATTGATTTCAATTTAAGAGCTACCGGTAGACAGCCGTTTCAGCTTGTTGGGCACTTACGTCTCGCTTGCGTTTCCGCAGTTATTTTCATCAAGTACTTTTCTTGGATATTCACATTTTGTCTTCAATCGAGATACTGACAATGCCCAACAAGCTGAAACAGCTGTCTGCCGGTGGTTCTTAATCTGAAATCAATATGGGAATGATCATAATAGTAGTCACCTATTCATCTTATGTGCTTGTTCTTGACCTTCATGTTGCTGTTAAATTTCATAATGTTTCAGTTCTTAATCCCGCTTCGTCAACAAAACCAACTTTTCAGTCCAACAGTTCACCTAAGATTATCATAATTTTTCAGAGAGAAAACATCAACCGCTCAAATTTGATTTGTCAGTTCCATTCAAGTAAGCATCATGAATTCTACGTCATAAACTCGTATCACAAAATTATATTTGTACTACGCTTTTCGAATTGTAACCCGCCAAAACTATTTCAGTCTAAGAAACAACAACTTATGTACCTAACTCCTACTTAATCTAATTCCAGCTTTCTGAAACTCCCCGGTAAACTTCCTTCATCGTCCTGGACGGAAGGTTTTTTCCTTCTGATTATACCTCTATCGCTGAGGAGGTTCATCGCGTCGAGAGACATCAGTCGTTTTCTTTTGGCTGCCAGCTCTTCCTTCCACATCTCAATCATTTCTTTGGCTGGCATTTCTCCACCAAACTCTAGGGGAAGACAACGTTTGTCTACTTTTTCGTGAAGACGATCCCGAGAAGCGTGTACCTGTAAAATGACAGCAAAATCATGTGAGGCAAGATATACTGTGGTCGTACAATTCAAGTACAATGATAATAATGAGTTCAATACTGCTAGGAGTCCCACGGTGGAAGGTAAGACCTCGTTAATCCTTAGTTCTACTCTTTAGGGCTGTCGTTCGTAGGAAAGTGACAGCTGATTGATGGAAAAGAGACGATTACTAATGATTTCATCAATTTTTTCAAACTTTTTGTGTTGTTTTGAAAATCAAATCCTATACCTCTTAAAAAATCACCCGTTGTAATACGAGGAGTGTTCAAACAGTAGAACGAATTTTTATTTTTTTTTTAAACATTTATTTGTTCATCAATTTCAACTTCGTTCCCTCCAAAGTATTTCCCCTCAGATATATTGTGAGACTTTCACTAAACAGTTTCATAAAAACACATCACGTGTTTCGTTGTTCAATAGCTCCTTCAAGCTAGATCATTTACTCCTTCATAAAGTGTTACCATGTATTTTAATCAGATATAATCGGCAAATTGTATCATCTAACTAGTAATCGACACAAACATGTTTTTCATTTCCCCAGCTCCATATGAAATAGATCGAAAATTCAGTCTGGTAAATATACCTGTTACTTGGTAAAGGCATTGTTCTGGCACTATAAGGCACTAGGATATTATAGGCTACTATAGGTTCTCCAAGTACTATAGATCACTACAGTATATTATAAGCTACTCTGATTTTAAAGGAAACCATATAGTACTCTGGTTCTACAGGCTTCAACTCTGGTAGTACCGTGTATTGCTCTGGTATTATAGAGCATTGCTCTAGCTCCATAAAGAATAATATAGATCAAAAATTCAGTCTGGTGCATATATCTTGTTCTATAGGGAATTGGTTGTTATAGGCTACTCAATGATCTCTAAGTACTATAGGACACTACAGGATACTATAAGTAACCATACCTCTGGTACTACAGGTTTTCACTCTGGTAGTTCAGGGTATTGCTTTGGTATTATAGGATATTGCTCTAGCTCCATAAAGAATGAAATAGAATAAAAACTCAGTCTGGTACTGTAGGGTTCTGCTCTGCTACTATAGGGTATTGCTCTAGTACTACAAGGTACTAAAGGGTACTATGGGTAGTATAGGAAGTATAGAAAGTATAGGTTGAATGCTCTGGGAACTCTGAGGTGCTTCAAGATATTATAGGGAAGTAAAGTGTACTCTGGAACTATAGGGCACCATAGAATACTCTGGTACTAAAGAGTATTACTCGGGTACTACAGGGTATTGTTCTGGTACTATGAGGCATTGATTCAGCTCCGTAAAATATGAAATAGATCAAAAATTGGGTCTGGTAAATATCTCTGGTACTATAAGACATTGCTCTGGTGCTGTAGGGTATAGTTCTAATACCACAGAGTGCTAGGGTGCCGTAGGGTACTCTAGGTATCATAGGTTCTCTAGATACTCTAAGGTACTATAGGATAATGAAGGGTACTCTGGTACCACATGGTACTGATCTGGTATTCTAGGACATTGCTTCAGCTCCGTAAAAAATGACATAGATCAAAAATTCAGTCTGATAAATATCTCTGGTACCATTGCCATTATCTGAGGTTGAATTCGGTAATATTATCTGTTATTCGAAGAATAAAAAATCAGTGAACAATGATGGGGAACGCATGGAACTATTAACCCATGGAGCTCTAGAGCTCTGTCACAAAAAGCATGAATTTTTCTATGGAAAACTGAAAAGTTCACACCTCGAAATAATCCAAAACAGATCCAGTATTCAGAAAGGAAATCGAGAAAATGTTGAGAATAAATGTTCATCCGAGTCTAGTCCTCTAAGGCACCTTTTGCACCTACGTACCACTTGACTTTTTGAGAAATATTGGCGTACCACCAGACCTAAAAGTGTCCAAAGGCTTTTTTAATTGAATTCCTGAGAAAACTTCATATTTGATGGTTAGATATTTGTTTATTTATAATATTCTTATAATAAAGGAGGAATAAAAACATTAAAATGGTATTAATTTATATTTTTATTTATTACCCATAGGTCTAAAAATATACAAATGAAAAATTATTGAAAAGTCAGCAAAAAATTAATCATCATACAAAATATACCATTATAGTCTTTAGTGCGAAACTTCTTGTTGTTTGCCTAGGACTAAAATATCAACATTAGGAGTAATGGAGCTTATCTTCACTCTTTAGTTCTCATCAGCACTCATTCTGCTTCTATATTTATTTTTTATGTACAAGAGTTCTGAAAATACACTCTCACACAAGTAACTCGTAACAAATGGCATCAAAAATAGCATAGCTTGCAAGTTAAAGTTGAAGATTTCTCTTTGAAATAATCTTTCATGAACCTATCTTCTATAAGGTCGATGAAACATTCTTTTAGTTCCAATTCATTTGGTGAGGTTCCCGAAATATTGAATAATCTTCAGAGAAATACTTCTTAAAGCTTTTTTGAAGGCTTTTCAAGTGAGCTATGATATCTGCCACAACATCTGGCATTGGAGATATTTCATTTTCTTAAAAAAATGATAATAGAGTGGGGAATTCAGATAAATTCTCCTCCTGTATTTGTGAACAAAACAGGATCAACTTTAGAAAAACAGAGATGTTAGGTCGTTTACTGGGTTATGGGTATTTCGTTTTTCTAGCGACCCGTGAGCTGAGTCATGTTTGCTATTAACAGCATATTGCTCATATCACTCACGCCTACCACCTGAAACGTTTCCGCGTACCACCGGTTGGGAACCCCTGCTCTAAGGTATAAGGTCATTGAAGAAGATATTCGTGAATAGAAAGAAAAAAATCTAGAGAAAGTGTATTATCAAAGTTATTTCAATTTATTGGTTGAAAAATTGATCAAAATTAATTTGTTGTAAAAATGATTTAGGACCTCACACTAGCACTTGATATTCTCAATCTGAGTGATTGATATTTTCGGAAATAGGAATAAAATCATGGGGTATAATACCTGATTACTTTGTTATAATCCAAGGAAATCAGTTCAAACGACACAAATTTGTGGATTTATTGAAATACATGAAATATTTAGACCCAACGAATAAAATGTACTTACTTTTAGCATTAACCTAAGGTACCATCACTTTTTACAATACGTTATATTGCAGAAAAAAGCTTCAAAAAATAAAGAAGAACTAGAATGAAGTTACTTTTCGGAATGATTATATTTTTACTCAACAATTCAAGTCTACGAGTGATGTTTATTCAAACAACTCAGGTTAATCGAAAACATTCATGTCAATTTGAATGTCATGAATGATAATCATTGAGAAAGGATACAAACAGTTTTATTCAAAACTTTATTCAGGTCAGAATATTGGATAATAGTTTGATATACAACAATATCATTCATGACGAATCGGAGTCGTATTGCTCAAATTAAACAGTTATAAGAAAATGAATAGATAGAAATAGGGACCCCTCAAGGAAGTATATTAGAGCCACAGTGTTTTTTCTTGTATATGAAAACCAAGTTACTATCTACTTTTCATTGCAGAACAGAGATAGACATGAGATAAGAAATCTCTTGTATTGCTAGAGAACATCACAGTACACAAAAGAGCATTTGTTCTGTCCATAGACATCATTTAATATCATATTCTCGGTGGAAGTGTTTACATCAAAACTTCGACAACACCAGTAAGCGAAGTTCAAAATGCCGTCTTCAATATACGGGGTAGTTTGTATTCAGTATCAGAACATATTATGAAAAATACACCCCAGTTATGGAAACTAGAGAAACTTACAAGCAAGTTCCATACCGAAACAAATACATTGGATTTATGTGATGATTGTCAGACCAATGGTCACTTATGGAGCAATTGGTGGTTGGCCAAAGGCTCTACAAGGCTCAGGAAAACTTTCTGGCTCACAGAGGCAGGCTTGTCTGGCCATTTGTGGTGTCATCAGTACCACACCGTCAGCGGCCATGGAGATCCTTACAGATCTACCTCCTTTCCACATTTTTCTGGAAAGATAGGCTCGGAAAAATGCTGATTGACACTGGAAGTCACAGAATTCATTACATCATTATGCCTCCAACTGTCAACTACGAACTGCCTTATATAGAACTGTTCCCGAGTAGAGAGGACTGAATCCTGGAGGAGAAGAAAGAATTGACAGCAGACAGTTGTTGGTCCACGGATGGATCGCAATCACCTTCAGGTTCTAGTGCAGGTGTTTTCAATCGCAATCGTTAGTGAAAAATGTTAGTTTTTGATGTTCAAAATCACCAAGTCAAGTTTTTACATTTTGAGAAATTTTCAACATTTAGTTCACGCACAAAAAATGACATTTGACGCAACAAAACTGACAGTTGACGTATAACTGAGAGTAACTGAGAGTAAACGTAACAGACCTCAGAGTAACAAAAGCCAATAGAGTGGCCTTTTCCATCCTTATATTGAAGGCAGCATAACTTTGTTTGTCGTAAGTTGGACCATAAAACAGTGGCGGTTGGTTCAGTTGATAATGGGAGGGATATAATCCCCTGTAAAATATTTCTCCGATTATCAACTAAACCAACCTCCACTGTTTTATGGTCCAACTTAGTTCAAATGTAAACAAACTCTCCAAAACCCCTCATTACCCGCCACTTTCCCCTCGCCCAGAAGTTGTACAGAAAAGGATAGTACGATATCCGTTTCAAAACACATGTATCGTATTGATATAGACATGGCACCTCTATGTCTTATTATTACTCTAAGTAACAGACAGTTTTGGCACGTCTCCTGTTAGTTTTGATACGTCAACTATCACTTTTAAAGATCAATCAGCTAGTGTTGCCAACTCTTTGGCGTGAATTGCACTGCCTCTTGTGCGACTCTTTCAAAAGTTACAATTTTTTCGACATAGCTCTTTCACATGAGGCAACATTGCGTACTAGCAAGGAAAGTGCAGTTTTTTTCGCACTATAAAATATTGAAACTTTGACGCTGACGTTGAAGAAATGAACACAATTTATATATCTACTCACCACTAATCTATCTTTGAGTTTCTGACTCATGAGGGACACAGCAAAGTCATAAATATACTTTACGGCTGTTGGTACGTTAATCAAATTTATCTCCTTGTGTCTCAAGGGGAATGATTGCTGAAACAGAAGAAAAAAATCAATAGGTTGTGTTCTAATGTCTCTACTAGGAATTCATGGTGCTCAGAAAAGTAGCAACATAACCTCGAAATGACAGATGGAGAAACTGATAAATGAAACAATAAAAAAAACAAAGAAGATACAGTAAACTGTCCAGTTTGAAAAATATGGGGGAATTTTGATGAAGTGAGGTACTAGCTTGATTGAAAATTAAATTGATTCCACTTGAACAAGATTCTCATGGCTGGGATTGAATCAAATAAGCGAATTAATTCCATAATGCACTGTCATCGATGACATGGGTAGATTTACCTCATTCGTGGCATAAAGTCGTAATTTCATTAATTAACTGAGTTTTTCCCGTTGTAATGTTATCCAGATTAGTGCTAAAAACCCTGCACTGTTGAGGAGTAATATACTATAACCAGTAATCACTACATCAACTTGAACAAGGTCCTGTTGTTGTACAACGAAAAACATTCGCGGAGATGACAAAGATTATCTGGGAGGATAATAGCCAGAAAAGTAGTTGCTTTTACATAAATTTTCTAATCCTCACTGTGCAGTAAAACTATTATTTTATTGAGGTTTTATTGAGGTTGAGTGGAAGAACAACTCAGTAGCACTTGTGCTGAGTTGAACTTCGCCTTTTGTTATGTCAGCAACTAGCTCTCTAATTTATTCAAATATTTGTATGTAATTACAGCTGGGTGACAATAAAGACGATTATTATTATTTTTTTTTCACCGTAGTGTGCGCTGGTCATTATCAACCAATGACCACTCCCCACACCGTGGGGTAAGTGATCGTTTGGTCCGAGAATCATGTACCCTGAGCAAGCGCAGTGAGCCAAGAATGACAGCCTTCTGTATCTGTGCGGCTAAGATTTCTGCCTTAGTACAAGCCGGTATGATTTTAAGATTCGAGAGTAGAGATGACATCATTCCACCAAGGACTCCAATAATCAGAACAACCATCTTGACAGAATGATCTGGATAGATTCTGCGGAGTTCAAAAAGAAAATCTCGATATTGTATCCATTTTCCCTTCTCTTTTCTGACGATATTCGTCTCGCCAAGAGCTGAAAACTACACGACAAATATCGTTTTCTCTGGTGGTCGCAACCTCTATACCCATCACGTGATTGCGGTAGACTAAGGTGTTGAAGACACCATCCTGGCAAGCCATGATGAACCCCTCAGTTTCCGACTTCAGGGTCTCCAATGTTATTGAAGAAGACCCCATGCATTGGCTTATCCTTGTGTTTCCGCAGAAGTGAGGTGATCTCTGCGGCTTTTATCTGAGCTTTTACTCATATAACCGTTCGAATACTCGGTCAACTGCGGTGAGTATTCGTGTGTATAAAATGCTTGTAAACAACTTATAACACGAATTCAAGCATGTTATCAGTCTGTAATTCTTAGGAATCGACAAATCTCCGCTTTTGGGGATAAGAATGGTCCGCCCCTCGACAAACCAATCCAGAATCGGCTGCTCTCTATCCAGCCATGAGTTGAAAATTCTAGCCAGATGACGGTGGGTACTTGGTAGGTTTTTCCACCAATGAGTGCTCAGCCCATCTGGGCCTGGGGCAGCAAAGTTCTTGGAACCAACAAGGGCCCTTCGAACGTCATCCGAGGTTATCGGGTTAAGCAGTTCATTGAGCTCAGGCTGTCGAAGCTCTCTGTTGAAAGCTTGGAACTGCGCTAGGGCTGGAGTGTCTAAGTTGAGTGGCTGCGGGTGTTCATAGGTATCCTTCCAGAGGGATTCCACCTGATCAGCGGTCGGCGGATTATCCACATTATTATTATTTACGAACACAGTGTTTAGTACAAGTGTAAAATAATTTGATCTTTCGAATGGTCCTAATATCTTCTGCTTACTTATAACATTATACTCACCTCTCCCCATTTGATGAGATATCCAAATTCTGTTATGGAGAATAGCGTCAAATAACCAGGTCCCACCCCTCCAATATCTCCTACATGATTTACTCCCAAAATTTGGTTGTCCTCGTCGCTGATCAGCGTTTCGTACGTTATGATGTGTGCTCTAGACAAATCGTTACCGTTGAATTTTTGAAGATCGAATTTACCTGGGGATACATTGAAAAACTTAAACTTAGACTAGTAGATATGTTTGAAATAATGATTTAACCTCAAATGTTGAACAAAAGTCAGTTTTTGTGGAGTTTTTATTGGTCACCTTGTTTGGGTATTTTCACCTTTCACAGGACAAACTTTTTGATTCTCTCTGATAAGTTACTGTGTATATTCTAAGTATTATATTTTATATGATCTCATGAAAGCTTTTCATTGTGTCTCTCATGACCTACTCCTGGAAAAACTGGAATTTTATGGTATAAGAGGTCCTGCGCTTTTTCTGGCTCATTCATATTCGACCGGTAGGAAACAATATGTATCTTCAAAGAGAGGCAAATCGGAAATGCAGGAAAATCAACATGGTGTTCCACAGGGATTTGTCTTGGGGCTACTCCTAATTACCATATATATTAGTGATCTGTTCTTTAACATACAGGTTGGGCCATCGAAAACTCGACTTGGAGGTTTTGAGTATCTTGCAAATCCTAAAAAACGCTCAGACAGTTCGATTTTTATTGGGAGGGGGGCAGTTTTTTTCCCATTCACATCGTCGTCACTTCAACCCTGGAGCAGAGGGGTAAAGGGCACCCCCATCTTCCATGCAATAATAGAGATTCTGCTGGAAACGTTCTTGAACATTGCGGGGCATTTTTGGAGTGATTTTGCGACATTCGTTTGTGATTCGTTACCGTGAATCTTCGAGTGATGCAGTAGGAGTACAGTAAATTCTGCTTTTCAAATGACCACACAGAAAGAAATCTAACGGCGAAAGGTCTGGTGATCGTGGTGGCCATTCGATAGTGCCCCTCCTCCCAATCCAGTAATTCGGAAAAGTCTGATCTGAATACTGCCGAACAGGCAGAGCATAGTGCGGAGGAGCCCCATCTTGTTGAAAAGTTAACAGATCCTCCCGATAATTGTGGTAATTTCCAATAATATCAGTGAGAAGGGGATTAATAGTATCTTTCAGAAGCTCCAGATACATTTGTTCGGTTAAATTGCCTTCTTAAAACAATGGGCCAACAATACGGTTACCAAAAATTCCAGCCGATTTAATTTTTATGGACGTTGAGTATGCACTCCATGAAAAATGTGAGTATTTGAATCAGCTCAATGGCGACAATTATGGCGATGAACTGTGCCATTAACAAAAACAGAACATTCATTACTCTGGCAAATGTTGAAAACAAAATGTGGATTTTCCACCGCTTGTTCACTAACCAACTCGCAAAATGGCAAGCGTCGATCGAAATCATCTTCATTCAGTTCTTGCTTCAATGCAATCTTCTAATAATCCTTTTATTAGATAAGAACTGAAAAATTAACAAAAAAGTAGCGTAAGAAACAAATGAAAGAGTTCCATATACATTCCAACTGAGCAGTGGCGTACAACAATTTGTTGCTATTGACAATATTGAAAAAGTTAATTCTCGAAAATAACCCTTTCAAATAAATTAAAGTTAAAAGATTTCAAGCCAAGTTACTTCACTTTGAATTGTTAATATACACAATCATCTTCGGGTGATGACTGGACTTTCTTCTGAACCACTGTTCCTCCTTGTGGATGATTTCAGCTTGAGACCACTTAATGTTATCTTAATGAGTCCAAACATGCTCTGCTATTCCCAATTATCTGGTTCCTCCTCGCTGTGTGTGTTTCTTGTGCTCGGCAATGCGAACTTTCAAAGGCCTCTTAGTTTCTCCGGATATCCGGTGAATGGAATTTTAGAATCGCAGTCCGCGTTTGGTGGCCTGGTTTTCGTGAGGCTGCTACGGATAGCGTTTATACTTTGACCCAATTCTTTTTATCCTTTCTGACAATTCTCTGATATAGAGAAATACTGGTTGTGACGACCTTGTGATGGTCTTGCTGTTTTCTAGCAAAAGTCTATTACACCATCACTTCGGAGTAACCATTCCTTTGAAGATCCTTTTGATGATGCCTAGTTCCTTCTCAAAACCTTCCTTCGTATTACAGAGCCCAGAAGTACGTTCTATTACAGTCTTGATAATTCTTCGCTTAGTCGATTGATGGTAGTTGGATTTCTGGTTCAGATACTGTCCCGTGTGAGTGAGTTTTCGGTAACCGGATGTTTCCCAATCAGTGTCACCCCTCTCCACCAATTCGTCTAAGAATGGCAATTCGTTGTGGACTTCCTTCTCTATTGTGAAGGTGATGAAAGGTCTTACGTTGTTGATGTATTTCAGGAAAGTGTCTAGTTCTGCTTGACAATGTTTCAGAAGAAACTCACTCCAGTTTTTCGTGCCGAGCGAGAGACAACAACATCATCCCCAAAGGTTTTCTGCTGAAATTGCCAATCTCAGGAGAGAGCCAAACGCATGTTGGAACGCGCCAGCCGAGCACTGATAAGGTCTCAAATGAATTTCCACCGTTGGTGGTACTGAATGCTGTGTACGAAACTGCTATTTCCAACTGAAGGACGAATTGTTTGCGCAAGATATGGGACTGCCAATGGGATCGCCACTTTCACTTGTTATAGCCAACATATATATGGATTGGTTTGAAATTCTGGCCATCGAAAAAGCCCACAAAAAGCCCCCAGATACGTTGACGACACCTTCATAATATGGAACCATGGAAATACAGAACTAGACACCTTGCTGAGGCACCTCAACATCGTAAGACCTTGCATCACTTCCACAATGGAGGAGGAAGTCCACAACGAATTGCCATAGGATTGTGAGAAAGGATAAGAAGAATTGGGTCCAAGATAACATCGGAACCTGCTTCAGATTCGCAAGCACTATCCGCACTATCCAAAAACCAGGCCACCAATCGTGTACTGCGATTCCAAAATTCCATTCACCGGATACCCTGCGAGTGCGGAGAATCCTACATAGGTGAAACTAAAAGGCCATTGAAAGTTCGCATTGCCGAGCACAAAAAACACACACAGCGATGAGAAACCAGCAAATCAGGAATAGCAGATCATGTTTGGACTCAAAACATCAAGTGATCTAAGCATGCGCAGCGCTTTCTAGACGTTACATGAAAATCAAAACAAAATTATGATTTCAACACAGGAATACGTCACTTNCATTATTATAAGTATACCCGTTCCAAAGATACGAGGGGGGGAGGGGACTTTTGACTAGCACTGTATATGGATTGGTTTGAAATGCTGGCCATCGAAAAAGCCCACAAAAAGCCCCCAGTCTGATTAAGATACGTTGACAACTGCATAATATGGAACCATGGAAATACAGAACTAGACACCTTGCTGAGGCACATCAACATCGTAAGACCTTGCATCACTTCCACAATGGAGGAGGAAGTCCACAACGAATTGCAATAGGATTGTGAGAAAGGATAAGAATTGGGTCCAAGATAACATCGGAACCTGCTTCAGATTCGCAAGCACTATCCGCACTATCCAAAAACCAGGCCACCAATCGTGGACTGCGATTCCAAAATTTCATTCACCGGATACCCTGCGAGTGCGGAGAATCATACATCGGTGAAACTAAAAGGCCATTGAAAGTTCGCATTGCCGAGCACAAAAAACACACACAGCGATGAGAAACCAGCAAATCAGTAATAGCAGATCATGTTTGGACTCAAAACATCAAGTGATCTAAGCATGCGCAGCGCTTTCTAGACGTTACATGAAAATCAATACAAAATTATGATTTCAACACAGGAATACGTCACTTGAATATTTTAACGTACTTATGTCACACCCTGTATATATAAAGAGTGATTTCAGTATTTTACTCACCCTGAATCGATAAGTTCATTGATTTTGGGATCCGTATAATCTAAATCGCACATGATATGGTTGAATTTCTTTCTGAAGTTGAGATATTTTAGCAGAGTTTGCTGTGCCATGGGAATGCTGAATTTTTTCACGCGCAGAAAGCTGAGTAAGAAATTGTCATCTGGAAAGATTAAAAATAATTTCATCAATGTTGATATGTGAAGTAACACTCTTCAAACATTGTTGCCAATGTCGAAACATTACTTTCCATAACTAGTGACGGAAAGTATTACTTTTCAGAAAGTTACGAAAAAGAATATCTCATATTTTCCAATATCTCATATTTTCCAAGTAGATTTTTATATATCTCTCTATTTTCTATATTTCAATAGTACGTTTTTATTATTAAATTCGTTTTCATTATTCGAGACAAACTATACTACTGAGTTATTTGTGTAGTAGATTGGACAAGGTTACGGAATCATACGCATATTCACAGTATAACGATATACACACATCGGAAAAGTCTAGGGATATTTTTAAAAATGGCAATAATTTTTTTTTAAATAGAATGTACAAACTCGACACTTTCAGATTATTCATTTTAGCCGAAAACCTACAGTTTGTAGCAAGCTTTGTCACAAACGGTAATGCTTTGTCCTATAACATAATGTAATCGGCACTGTCCCAGTCATCCCAGTGACTAATGCTTAGATAATATATAAGTCACGCTGCTCCGTCACTATTTCCATAGGCGGGTACTTCAATCAGCCTACCTCTGGTAATGCGGGGCTCTGCCAGAGGCGACCAACTCTTGCCTTGCTACTCTGGGAACACACATGAATGAAACAACAAAGACAAAAACCAATCCCGAGGCTGGACAGAACTGCTCACCTCAATCTAAGGCGGTGGCGGGGGATGGACAGAAATGTCCACCCTAATCTACCGCTTGGAATGAGGCAGGACATAACAGATCACCTCCAACAGCAAGGGCACTTCCTGCGGCGGCCGCCAAGAGCTACGCCTTGAATAAAGGCAAGGAACCGGCTGCCCCTGCAGGAAAGCCCCCTTACTTGTGCATCTCCACGGTGGGAACCTCAAGAAGGTTGAAGAAGCCGCGCAACGACAGTAATATCGCTGCACCTTCCAAAACCTTCGCGGAGGCCACCGTGAGAGACCTCAAGGTTGCCAAAGAGAGTGTGTGTTTGGCGAGTCATGGCCTCCAGGTGTCAATATTAAGGAGATGTCTCCTAGTGACTTGTTCACCTTCCTGGAAAGGACAAGATGGACGATGACCTAGGAGGATAACTCTTCGGGAGGATGTACAATGGGTCACATGTGGCCTAAGTGCTGTGAGTCTACCACACACTCTCCCTACTCTACAGATACCAGATACAGAAATTGACGTTTCAGCCTACTTTGAGAAAAATCCAAATAATCCCATCAGAGATTCATCTAAAGAAAAAGCTGTTCCGTCGTCTGTAATTCAACGAATTCTGAAGGAACATAAGATTTCTCCTCTCAAGTTAAGTCCAGTGCAAACACTAGAACCTGGTGACCCTGAGAGACGATTGGGGTTTTCTCGGTGGTCTATGAATGAATGCAGACAAGATCCAAACTTCTATAGAAATATCATATGGACCGATGAGGATGATTTTTCAAATTGTGGGATGAATAATAAAAAGAATTTTCATTATTGGAGTAGATATAATCCATTTCTAGTCCATCCCCACAATCCGCAAAGACGATTTAGTATTAATGTTTAGTGTGGTCTATTTAGAGGCAGAATTATCGGTCCATTTTTCTACCATGGTTCTTCGAACGGATCCCGTTACATTAATTTATTAACAAGAGTGTTGGTAGAGTTTTTCGATGATCTTGACCCGGAGGCTCGTCAGATGATCCTATTTTCAGCAGGATGGAGCACCAGCACATAATTTCAGTGGCGTAAAAAGAATGTTTTGAAACTGTTTCGGAAACAGATGGATTACTACAAATGGTCATGTTAAGTGGCCTTCTCGTTTACCAGACATGACACCTCTAGATTCAAAATTTAATAGGGTGGGAAGTATTCACGTCCGTACTGTATAAGTCAACTTCAAAAGAGTTATATCTTCGAAACCTCATTCCCCACAATAATTCGAGAAACTATGTTGAAGCCAAGAGAACTCAAATGTGAAATATAAGATTATTGACACTTTGCATGTTCTTATGCTGGAAGAGTTCATGAAATCTCGAATTCACGACCAGTTCATGCAACTCCGTTGAATAATAACCCAAAAATATATTCGGTCGGTTGAATAATCTGAGTCAACACATCAAATATGATCTAATATTATGAATGTTATGAAACCCATACATTGACACACCTCACACAGTCAGAAACATACGCATGAACATTTGCAACCTCACAAACTTTCAAGATCTTCGTCTGTAAATTACGTGAATAACTTTCTTCTCCTCGTACACTGTTTATTACGTAAAATACTGATTAAATCATTGTTGAACTGATTCTTGAGTTTTCGGTGTTTTGTTTGTTTGTACATTACTTTTACACTTGATCGCTGGTGGACATATTCACCATATGAAGAATGTTTTCATAACTATTTTAATAATGATAATGATAATAATAATAACTTCATTCACAACATATACAGATTAGAGTACAATTAAAACAAAATATGTGAACAGAGTGGTTTGGCGATAAGAATGAAATAGCATATATAAGTTTATAGGTTTTATATGTGTATTCATTACTTTTTTGATTCTGTATACACAGTTCAAATCGTAATTTGTTTAGTAAATCCACTTTCTCAAATATGAATTGACATGTTCATCTATGAAACATATAAATTTCATTCATTCTTTATCTCTTTTTTTCTTTCTTTCTTTCTGTATCTAGATGATATATGATATCATTGAGAACCAAAGGATTTTGATAAACATCAGTGAAATGATCAGTAGTTAGTAAAAAATTCGATGTAAATGTATACGTTACCCATAATACAATTTTCTATGTCAGGATTCTGCCTAATCCATTCCCTCAAATGCGCCAAACACTCTCTCCTGGCTGTTTCGTTTTCTCTCAGCTCCTTGTCGGCTATTTTGTACAACTCCTTCATTATTCTCGTTTTCTGTTCTTTCGCTAGGATGTTCTTGTTCGCTGAGTCTGAACTGTTGTGGCTCGTCCATGGGTTCATCACCAATAGTTGAGTCGTCGTAGTCATCTGAAAAGAAAATATTCTGAATGTACAATTTTTTCTAATGCAAAATAGACCTTCCTTCGAAGGAAATGAATGCACATTGCATCTTTTTTTGTTAATGGTCTGAAGCGTCAGCTATTGAAACTGGTGGAGATGATGAAACCTTAATATGAACACATAGAACTGGACCCCATTCATAATGTAGAAGGAAGCTCACAAAGAACTGCTGTATCTGTATCTGCAGCACTTAGGCCACATGTGACCCATTGTACATCCTCCCGAGGAGTTGTCTTCCTAGGTCATCGTCCATCCTGTCCTTTCCAGAAAGGTGGACAGATCACTGGGAGACATCTTCTTTATGTTGGCAGGTGTAGGTCAAGACTCGCCGAACACACACTCTCTTATTGACGATAACTCCGGACACTCGCACAGGACATGCCTGACAGTTTCATCTTCATGTTCACACATCCTGCATTGAGGTGTATCCACTAGCCCCATAATATGGAGGTGTTTCCTTAGCTTACAGTGGCCAGTCAGAAATCCTACTGTTAAGCGTAGGTTTTTCCTGGTCATCGCCGGATATTTCTTCAGCGCCAGCTTCCCAGGGTCGCCCATGGTGATGCTGGCAAGACTGCATTCTTTGGTTACATCCCATCTCTTTAGGGATTGAGCGTGGGTTTGACATTTAGCTAGTTCCGCAATTGTCAAAGTCATCAGGCCATAAAATTCTTAGTCCAACCGCTTTCTTGGCAAAAGAGTCGTCAATGCGATTACCTTTACTTCTGTGGTGCCCTTTAACCCATCTCAGGATAATGTTACTATCTACCTAAGCTTTGGCTAAATCTTGATGGTACTCTAGTCAAGCCTTGAGGTAACACGTTGTCTGTTCAAGGCTAATAGGGCTTGACCAGAAATTCCTTTCCTGGTCATTTCTTTTGTGGCGATTCAGATACCAGCCAGTTCTGTTTGAACCAGGCTGGTATTTTTCCCATTTCTCACTTAATTCTTAGGCTCAGTGATTTGGATTACACTCTACATCCCGAGCCTTCTTTGGTTTTTGAGCCGTTTGTATATATATATGCGTATTGCATTTGTAGCATCTGACTTTGTGTTGTTTTAGTTGTATTTTTTAGGCTTTATTAAACACAAACCTGGGTTCAATTGCATCACTTGCTGCCTGCAGCAGAGGTTGCGCAGTAAGCGCTTCTCTCCATAGGCTCAACCTCAATTGACCCATTCCTACTTCGAGGTTTACACCAGCCGTGCGCAATCGTAACATGGCCATTAACGAAACCTCCTTAACGTGCAGGTCCAGAGGGGTCAGACCAGTAATTAATTCCATTGCCGCGGTTGGTGTTATTCTCATGACTCCTGTTATGTTTGAACAAGCCAATCGCTGCATTTGATATAATTTTTGGATGGCCGTTGCTTGTAGAACTATTGGTCCCCAGGCAATGGCTCCGTACGTTAACATAAGTCTTATTATTGCAGTGTGGATCTAGGTGCTGTTTCAAGATTTGAATGAATATGGCCCACAATAAGTGGGTAATATTTGTAAATTGAAAACCAGCTGACATGAAACTGTATTTGAATTACCAAGAGAGAAATTATCAATACACTAATTGATCATGCATTCAGTTTCTGTAACGTGTTAGCATGAGATTGTCCAAATGATATCATGGTTTTCATTGTAGATGTTATCCCAGGTTTTCTAACAACAGATACTTTTTCACCACCCATTTCGTAACGAATTTCATCAAAGAGAAATGCAATTGCANTAAAAGCTACATGCATTTTGGCCAATAGTTTCATCTAAATCTGTTTAGGCGTGAAAGAGTCACAAGCCTCATAAACTTTCATATTTTTATTAGTGTAGATAGATAATCAGCTTTAGAACTGTATAGTTTCTCAGCAATGAATTATCTGACATATTAATATCAGAATCAGTAAGTTCACAATTGAATAATTAGTCAATATTGATATCACCGGTTCTTAACATCAAATAGGTCATTTCACAGCTGAAAAACAATAAAATTATTAATTACTTTCTCGTGTTCAGTCAAGTAGAGTTAAGGTCATATACATTGAGTTAATACGGTACATAACAGTGAAAGTTTCAAGTTCAAGGAGACAATAATTTCTCATGCTTTATGGAGAATAAACTGAAGGAGAGAATATATTCATATAGTTAATATACCTTTTTTGTAAAATAGTTTTGTAAATAAGCATAAAGATAGTAAATGTTCATTCCAAAATAATAAAATAATAATAATAGTGTCAATGATAATGATAGCGTTTATTGCCTGACAGTTTCCCATTTACAGAGTTGAGTATAAATAATTGATAAAATAATGTTTCATACTATTTAACATGGAACAATAAAAGAAAGATATGAAAGAAAAGAGTGAGAACGTTTTTACACTCATTGACCATAGATTCGCACGAGACTTATTTTTAATTTCATATAAACTGTAACAAAAAATATCGATATTAGAGTGATGCACTGTTGAACCTTTGGTGTAGTAATGAATATTAGGTACTGGAGTTTAGTCCCAACACCAAACCGTTATTTTTGACACCTCAACACGTGTTTCAATCACCAAATGATCATCTTCAAGTGTAAAATTAAACTGCTTCCTCTTGAAGATGATGAATTGTAAATTTCTCAAAAACTGTCACTTTTAGAGACTATTTCATCTCATCCAAATTTGTAGAGATGAGATAGTTCTAAAAAATGGTGACATAACATACTGGGTGTTTCATTCGAGAAAAAAAAACTTTGATATTTAAGGTTTGTCAAGTTAATGGCTCTGTATAAAATCTCCTGTTTAAGAAATGTAACTTTCAGTCCATACCAACATTCCAACTCACTCATCGTGTTGCATGTCTCAGATAATTCTGCCTAAATTTCATCCATAAATTTTCATAATGGCCTGTGGTGGTCTGTTTTTCCAAAGATTTTCTTTCTTTCACCATCAACTTGACAACGCCGCAAAATTTTCGAAAATAGGAAATACCTCCTTATGTAAAAGATTTTGCTCAGTTCAACAGTGGAAATATTTACAGGGAGCCCATTTAAAAAAGTGATGAGTTGAATTGCCCCGCTTCAAATAACACTCTGTATATTCCAAAATGTTTCAAAATAAGCAACAAAGTAAACCATACAACTTTTATCTGAAACATGTCATCATACTCCACAATACCTATAGGCGAGGTACTGTACTAATGGGCCACCCTGTATATAAAAATAAAACGGGTGCCTGATTTGTCCGTTTCTCTAATGCTACAAATTCTACTTCATAAAGCAGATCAGAGAAATTACAATTTCTTGGGGGATAAGTTTTAATGATATGGGATTCCATATTATGGGTCCATATTCTAGTTTTGACCTCACCAAACTGAAATACAGAGAGGTTAGCGTAATTTTATTATGGAAATACTTACAGTTCCTTATAATAAAACAGTAAGTGCGGTAAGCTAAGTTTTTAATGTGAGTATTGTAGTAATTGAAAGTCATATGATCAAAGTAGACTCCTAGATCCCGGATATTATCTGTTATCTCCCATAGAATGTTATCAATGTGGTAAGGAAATTGCAGTGTATTGCATTTCCGACTGAATGTCACAATTTTGCATTTGGATATATTCAAATGGTGGCGGTTCTTGAGACACCAATCTTGTGATAAATAAATCTGCCACTGCAAAATGGTCTGGTCATCTGAACTGTTTATGGATGTGTGAAGTTTTAAATCATCAGCAAACAATGATCTATTGCGGGTTTACGAGTTGCACAGATCGTTATTAAATAATAAAAACAATAAGGGGCCACGATTAGATCCTTGCGGGACTCCGCTAGTAGCTGAGTGCATATTTGAAGAGAAGTCATGATAGTATACATATTGATGAGATTCCAAAATCTGACAATACATTTTTTGAAAACTCATGCAAGAAAGTTTATGAATGAGTAACTTATGGCTGATTCTATCGAATGCTTTAGATAAGTCTGTGTACACCACATCAGCTAAATTCATAATTGTCGATCTAGAATTCATGAAACCATGTTGATGATCAGATATTATATGTCGAGAGGACCAATAGATAAGGCTATACAAGATTATTTCTAGAAGTTTGGCAAAGTTGGGATTGAGAAAGGTCTGTGATTACTGATTTCATTACGATCTTGATATTACGTGTTTGCTGGTTACATTTTTATAATACTGTCAACAGTATAAGTCTATCGCACACTAAACACTGAGTCATGCGAAGAGAGGAGAGAGAAGCGTCTGTCCGACGAGAGAGGAAGAGCCTGCCTCCTCCTCAGACAGACTGGCGCCGTAACGCGTTACGTAACGAAGCGGTAGAAGTTATGACTTAAATACACAATCAAATCGTTTCCTAGGGAAAATTCTGATAGAGTCAGTTTGAACTGACATTTAAAATACCAACTTCCCAGATGCTTCTCCTTTGAGAGAGAAGCATTTTTCCGGCCTAGTCCTGGAAGTACGTACATTATTAATAGTGCATTATTAATAGTGGCAATGAGAATGTGAAATTGATTTCGTCATATTTTTGCTAATGAAGTCAGCGAAATTAGATTGGATTGGATTGGATTCGGCATATCTTCGGAAGTAAGCGAACTTTTTCGGTTTCATCAAGTGCACCTTGTCTTAGACACAATATAAAACAACATCAAGAGGTTATACAAATTCTTCAATTAACAAGAAAAATGTTGCAAACCAAAGTTCTGCAACGATTAAGTAAATCAGTTTCAATTCTAGTGCCGTGATATAATATTTTGTCACTTACCATCATTAAACAAATAATTTTCAACAATGTTGTTGAATAAAAATCAATAGTTGTTCCTTTTTGTTCGTCTACAAACTGAAAATCGAGTTTTACCATAACCAAATATCAAAAACCAATCTATAACTGAATGTCAATGACCCAAAACTGTGTTTATCGACTCTCGATTCTTTTTTTTGAATAATTATAAAATGAATATTTTGAGGAGTACCCACAAATAAT